CAGCCATGGTTTTAAAAGGTATTAGAGGTGTGGCCTCGGTACCCTTTACAAGAAACTGTAGCCTCAAATTTTGTGAGGCGTATGACTTAGGGTAATCGAATAGAATAGATTTCTTTCGTCTTGTTTTACCATTTTCCCTCCCTTCTTCTCTGGTTAGGAACGACCCCTCAACTTCTAATCCTCCATTGAAAACTTCTTGAAGACTGAGGTCTTGAGTCTCTTGATTGGCGACCAAGGTGAGTTTTTTCCTCCTCCTCCTCCTCCTTCTCCTCCTCCTTTGGTTTTGGTGCATAGGGTTTCTATTTGAATAGTGTTGCTGCTGATCTCCCAAAGTCCAAAATGGAGATCCAAATCAAGCCTTTTCCTATGGCAGTTATCTTGATGAGAATGACAAAAGCATACTATATTTGATATTAAAATGTAAGAAGTCTCACCCAGCCCAAAATAACAAGTGATCGATCACTGACCAGTGATCTGTAAGATGATAAACAAAGGGAGATGAATATCAAGAAATTCAAGACAATAATAATAATTATAAAAGTCACCCAATAACAAAGATGAATCTTTTCCCATGCAAAGATACTTGGCTGTCCCGTCCATGTGACCTACCAGTTCCATTACGTCTCCCAAGTCCCAAAAACCTTGCTGCTGCCTGCTAGCCTGCTAAAACTATGTTTGTCTTTGTTTTTCTCAGCATTGGACAAGGGCTAAGTCTCTCTTACTATTAAGTGTTTAAAGCCATTTTTGGTCTTGCACCCATCATTACTTATTGATTTCTTGTCTTTCTATTGTTGGGTTGTATGCATTCATATGCATAATTCAGGTTACTAATTAATTTCTTTAATTTTCATTTTTTTTATTTTTATTTTCAGGTGAGAAGTGAGAATTCAAAACAGAGTACCCACCTTAACAACAGGAGAAGACAAAAAAAGAAGTGGCACCATTGATTCAAGCCATTTTCAGGTAAATATAGAATAAGATACAAGGGATGAAGTTTGCAAGTTGTTAGGATTCTTTAAGGGATTATTGATTTGGGACTTAAGGAATCTTTCATTTCTGCCACTGATTATTCTTTTTCATTTTAATTTTATTTTTTTCTTTTCAGATGAGAACCAAAAACAGAGTACCACAGTAATAGAGGTTGAGTCAACTGACCAACAAGGCAACAATCAATCACAATTCAAGGGATTCACGACCAAGGTAAATGCTCATCTAATCCTTCTTATCCATAAATTCTAATCTACCTCTTCATCTCTTCTATAGGTTAATTGATTACTTATCTTAGTGATCAGTATTCTCCAATTTCTATTAAAAATTTAAAACTCAATGGTTATGTTTATTTATTTACTTTTTATCAGCTTCAATTGCTATATTCATTCTTAATCCTTTTTTTGAATTTTGACTGTCACATGAAGAATAGGATGAACGGATTTGTAAACCTTATGAACTATGTCCATAATTTTTAAGCTTTTAGTTTGAGGCTTATGCCTCAAACCGCCTCAAGGCTTACGCTTCGCCTCTTCCACACCTAACCGCCTCACCTCTGCCTTACGCATTTTAAAACTTTGCTCACACCATATTAACCCTTGTGTGAAGAGGAAACCATCTGCAACCTTGTTCATGAAACTTGGCTAATTATGGTTCCTCACACCATGATAATGCACATAACTACAATTTAAAGGTCATTTGTAGCCTTTTTGATGAAATATGACTATTTATGATACCTATTTACTTGTTATGTATAAAAAGTTTGCTTATTTTTTTATTGGTTTTTCTCTCAATGAAAGAGGGAATATATACCAGTCAAAGGAAAATTCTATAGAAAAATGATACTTAGTTTTGTCTATTCATTTATACTCCTGAATCAGAATCAAAAGGTTTTCTCTACCCCTAGTAAAGATGTAATTAAGGGAACAACTACGTGATTTCCTGAATGGGACTTACCCAAATAACAAAAAAACTTAGTTTATCTAATTGGGTGAATTGTGTCCGAGAAATTGTACTAAAAAAAATTCCACTAACACCAATCTTGTCAATTGCTAATTTAAATAATTCCAAGGAGGCAGATACTCCATTAGAGCTCAACTTGAAATTGTCCTATGATGATGAACTTTTATTGCTTGATGCTTCACTATATATACAACTTATGAGCAGCTTAATATCTCTCTATGACAAGGCCTAACACTTCCTCCATTGTCCACGTTGTCAGCACAGTTTTCAAGGTGCCAAGGCGAGGCTAGGTGTCAAGGGGGCACCTTGTCGCCTAGGCGAGCGCTTAGACATCACCTAGGCAATAGATTTTTTTTTGTATAGAAAACATAGATCCTAGGGTAGTTCCCTAGGTACCATAGCCATATTTCCTTAAGAAAAGTATAGATTTCATGTTAAAGTATAGAAAATCAACATATTCATGAGAAGAAAAAAAAAAGGAAAAGAAAATTCAAAAAATATAGGGGCTGAACCCTTATTTTTGTTATGGGAAAAGAAGAAAAGTAGTAGTAGTAGTAGTAGTAGTAGAAAATGTGTTGAAAAATGTGTTCATTAGACAAAATTTTAAGTTCTTCCTTACTTATTGGTTCAATACAGCATTTAGCAATGTTTGTACTTTTTATTGATTAAATCCTAACAAATAAGAAAATAATAAAAAGAAAATAGTATATAAACACACAAAATGAATATTTTAGTTTAATAGTGCCTATTTTATAATTATAATGTCAAAAAATAAAGAATAAAAAAGTATTTTACAATACATAGTACAAAACTGCTTGGCGATTAGGTGAGGTGAGCCTCAAAGGGCGCCTTGTCGCCTAGGCGTCGCCTTGACAACTATGGTTGTCAGTAAGTTTATTTGCACGCCTTGGCAACCTCATCAATTTGCAGTATTTCAGATTATTTGATATATTTGTAGCACTTTATCTCATGGTCTAATTTTTCCTCAGTCATCTTCCACCCAACTTTGGGCTTATTCTATTCATGGTTTCAAATGCGAAATGTCGCTAATGTCGCCCGACATATGTCGATGTCGAGGCTCACTGACATGGAAATGGATGGTAATATAAAAATTACATTATTTCGGTCGACATTTCCTATATTTCGGAAATGTCAACCAAATCGGTCCAATAACCAAAACAAAGGCAGTTTTTCCTATTATGTTGACAGGATGTCAACTAATATATTACATTGTTATAATACAATATATTAATATAAATTATTCCATTAATAATTTCTATYKAATATTTMAAATDAAAKRKTTATAAAAAAGAATTAACAAAATATAAAAACAAAAGAATAAATTAATTACTTTATAATATAAAACATAAAATATTTTTCGAGTAATAAAATATTAACTAGTTAATATTTTTTAAAATATTTATCAAAATCAGAAAATGTTTATTAAATTTTATAATAAATCATATTCTACATTTAATATAAAAAATCAGAATAAATTCATTAAATTTTATACTAAATCATAATTTATTATAAGTTTAGTATTAAAAATCATAATAAATTCATTAAGTTTTATAAGAAATCAGAATTTATCATAATCTTAATCCTACAAAAAGGAGAACCAGTTTATTAAATTTATAATAAAGCATGATGTATTATAACTTTAATATTTAAAAAATCAGAATAAATGTATTTTTTATTTAGAAGTGTGAAATAAATATATTAGAATTTATAATAAATCAGAATTAAAAATAAGAAATATCAGATAACCTTGTAAAAACATCAAAATGCATAATAAATCAGTAAATCGTCATTTACTAATTTGTTATTGATCTTAGTTTCTTAGCTTTATATAATGGTTGGGAATAAGATAATAGTCTAGAAATATGTATTAATGCTTCTTTTATCATTTTACAAAATATCATTGCATATTTCCACATATTTCATAATATTTCCACAATGTCTCTAATTTTTACAATATTTCCCCTCGACATTTCCGACAYATGTCCTATATTTTGGTAAGCGACATTTCCATCGACATCAACATTTTAAACCTTGATGCTATTGCCAATTGGGCAGGGTGTACACATACCCGATGACCTACTACAAGTTGGTGTGTTTTGTTGGTGACTCGTTAATTTCCAAAAAGTGCAAGAAGCAATAATCTGTCTCCAAGTCCTCTATAGAGGCTAGGTATCAGGCCATGTCTTCTGCTTGCAGTGAAATCAGTTGACTCAAAGCTCTACTTAAAGAACTGGGTCTTTACCACTCACCCCAGCTCCCTTATTTGCAGGTAATAAGAATGCAATCAAAATTACCACTTGACTAATCCAGTGTTTCATGAGGGCACCAAGCACATTGAAGCCAATTGCCACTACATTAGGAAACAGTTCTTTACTGACCACATTTCTTTTCCCCATGTTTCTTCTGGATTTCATCTAGATAATCTTTTCAATAAAGCCAGCCAGACATACCTTTCTAGTTGACAAACTGATGCTTACCTAGTGGCATCAGTTTGAGGGGGAGATTAGAGATGTAAAGGATTAGGGCTGAAGTTGTGTGTTTACTTCTTTAGGCGCACCATTGTAGTATACAATGTAACTGCACTATATCACTCTTGTACAGATTTTTTTGTATTTGTTAGTGAAGGACAAAACTTCCTTTCACATTTTCATACCTACTAATATATACATTTCATTCTTGGGTTGTAGCCTGACTTAGACACACTCATTCAAATTCTGTGTGGCCTCTTTCGAACTGCTCCTGACAGAAATTGTATAAGATAGTTAAGGATTGACTTGATAACAAGGCAATCTTAAATCCAATGGATCTCTTAAATAAAAATTCTAAATAGCAGCCATAAACCTTTTAGAATAACTCTTTAAGGGAAGTACTGGTTATAAATAAACAAAACAAGAAAAAATGTAAATTTCAAAGTATCTTAATAAAAATGGCCTTTAATTATAAATAAGAATGAAGCAAGAAAAGCAAAACAGAGGACAACTATGGAATGAACCAACCAAAAAGAATATCAAAATAAGAACTTTAATTACCGTCACATCATCTCCTGGTTGATGGTTTCTTTCACAGACTTGAACCTGAAACAATTAGCAGATTTAATTGCATCAACTCTTAACTCAATCAATTGTCAAAGGAAACCAAGGACATGTTTGGCTTAGGAGAAGTGAAGAAACAGGGAAAATCACTACATGGTAAATAAGAATTCACAAGCAAGCAATAGAAGAATCTGCAAGAATATAAATAAATTACTCTATAGCAGTTGGCTATAATAGGAAAAAATTCAAAGCTTTATTGCTCAAAGTAGAAAATCGCACAATAACAATGGAAGAATGGTTACAAGACCCATTGACACCCTCATATAGACCGATGGGGGGGAACCAGCCACTTCCTACATATATGCTGACTTAACCACACCTTCATCTTACCAAGTGTTCTTAAAACATTGAAATCTTTCTCCTACACTCCACAGAACAGAACATTCCAAGTGCATTGAGATGCTTCCATCCCCCTTCACCTATTTTAGAATATCTTGGATTCAAAAATCATCAACAAGCCCCTTGGAAGCCTCTTAGCTTAAATATCAAACCAAATATGCACTCAAAACATTACTTGTGAGCCTCATATCAAACTCATGTAGTTCAGTCTCTTCAACAAAATCTATATTTTATTCGCCCAAATAACATTTCTGACCTATTTCCTTCTCTCCAGATCCCTAAGACCCTTGGTGTTCCACAATAAAATCCTCATAGAATAGGCAGGATTAGGAAACCGTCCACCTGTCTCACTTTAGCCTCCACCGTCCCTATCAAACAACCACCAACCACCCCCCAAGTCAGTGACAGCAATCCCCTTGTACCTCTATCCTACCATCCTTGCCCTCCGCATCCACATTTATCTCACCTCCATGTCTTGACTAGCATTATTATTATATGCAGGCTTCAATGATTCAGCTTTTAAACTTTGGCCTCCTGATTGGAACCAACCTCTTTAGGAGATTAATGTTTTCAAAATCGTAATTTTATTGTAAATCATAAGGGGGCTTGAATTGAATCATATCATGAATGGTATCACAAATCATAATATTTTTTCTGAATTTTAAAAATGTTATCAAAAATACTAGAACTCTCATAAAATAAGAAAAAATGACTGCATTCTAGCAACCATAGACATCATATGAGTAGGTTTTGATGGTGATTATACTACTTGTATACATTGACCAATATTCAGTAAGTAATATGATTAAGTTCAACATTAATTATTTTGTTGTAACCAGAAAAAATATATATATTTTAAGAACTATAATTGCTAAATTATTGAAAGTTATACAGATGGAGTTATAGACAGACAAGACAATATTTATAGAAGAAATGAATATTCCAAAATACATTAATATTGTACAAACCACAGTTATATACAATTAAAAAATAAAACTCTGAGATCTGCAGACATTTCAACTGTCCTAAAATTTACACATTGCAATTCATTTTCCATTTATTTTATAGGTCATGCATATTTTTCACACATTTCGTGACAGATATGAAGACATGGCTAGCGCCTTTGCTTTCATGGCACAAAGGGTATGGAGCCAACTGGTGTGAACAGCTATATATTCAATAAGAAAATAATAATAAAAATATGGTGGACCCTTATTTCCATGTTACAAAATAAAAGGGGAAAATATGGGGCCAAACTCCTATTTTCATGCTTATAGAGACATTGAGGTGTCCAATAGAAGATGACGGTATAAGCCCTATTTTCAGGTCAGAAAAGAAAGAAAAAGTATGGGAAAAGAAAAGAAAAACTGAGTCAAAGCCATTATTTTTCTGTTAACATAGGTGCCCAGAATCCAAATGGAAAAAACAAAAGATAGCATAGAGCCCTTGTTTTCATGTTAACATAGGTATCCAAATTATGTGAAACTGTGGTTTTTGAAGGACTTAGTTTAATGTTCTTATTTTGTGATGGATAGGTGTCCAAATTATGCAAAACTATGGTTTTTTGAAGGACTTAGTTTAATGTTTTTATTTTGCAATGGATCTAAAAAACCTTAAGTTGCTGCACTCTGTTTAATTAATTAGATTTTACAAGTAATGTCAAAACCACAGTTTCACATGAAACTAACAAAAGTGTATCTGTATTTGATTTTTTCTTTGAAAAATAACATCAATTCAATAATAAGAGAAAGGAGAAAGGATTTACATGAGAATGGCTTGGTAGATAAGGGAGCCACCATAGCCAAAAAAAAACAAAAAATAAAATGCCAAGGTATTAGCATTTGTTGATTCTAGTATCTAGACCTTTGAATCAACAACTATAATTTGGAATTTCAAAAAATATAGCTCTTTTAAAAATTTAGTCAATAATTAACCTTTTATTGATAAGCAACAGTAGAATGGAAATTTGTTCCTACTTATAATGTAATAATATAATAATCACAGCATTAATTAACTTCTAAAGGAGATTATTCATCACAAAAATGTTGTATTTGATTGTTTAGGATACTTGCTTTTTAGTCTTCTATTATTTGTTGTGCACAAATGAGTTGTCGACTTTTAGGCTTTCTGTGTAATTAACTAATTATACCTCTTCCAACACTTCCTTGAGTTTCATAAATAAGTTTCATGTTTTATAACTTTTAAAATATTTTCACTATTGCCTCAAATTTTCAAATTCCTGAACAAGATTGTTTAAGTTTTGCCATTTTCACATGGCAGCACACCCAACGAAATAGAATCTTCAAACCATGGTTGGAAATTGAAAACATCTATACATGCACGATTCAATTATTAAAGCATTTGCCTCAAATATTGAACCCACTTACCTGTGAAATTTCTCGATTGTCAAACAAGCTGTAGAACTGTATGCGGTAGTTCTCTGTCCGTATGGCAGCTAACCCAGCAGTGTGATCAAATGCAATCCCATTAAATGAGTCTTGATAGATCTTTGGAAATGAACAAGGAGGCTGAAGATACACATGTAAGAATACAATTTAACACCATAAGCAATAGTTGCATACTTGCATTGCAAAATGAAGAAAATAGATTGAGCCCCTTCTGAGTTTATAGTCATGTTCCACTAGCACCAGGCCTTAACCAAATATAAATTATATAATACAATAAAATACATGGTTTCCATGCTATGATACACCCAGATACCTGTGCATGGGTGCGATGTCATAGTGGACACTTCAGTTTTTAATGTAAATTCAGTGTGACAGGTGACACCTCATCCACCCATGTCATTTCTGTATCAGCAGTACCATAGCTTCCACATGATACAAAACAAGTATAGTCAATCAATCATTACAGAATATCAGGTGCATGTGCAGAAGGATTAAAAGAATCCAGCCACAATTGACAGTTCCTACCTTGGGCATCTGCTAGGTCCAGACTAAAAGTAACAAGGAAAAAGAATGCAAGCCAAGTACATAAAAACATGGGATACAAGAGTAGTGCCTTCTTCCTATGGGGTTAGTGTTTGGAAAGGAATTCCTAGTTTCAATTTGAGTTTGCTAGCAGCTCTAAATTTGTTGTAGGGAATGGATGTAGAGTGAGATTTTGGGAGGATGAATGGTGTGACAATGAGAAGTTAATGTAATTGGTGTCCAAGGCTGTAAAAGTTGAGTTTAAAGGTTATTACTGTTATCTAATGTTTGGAGAGAATTGGAGAGCAAGTTGTTTGTGTCCTACTTTCAGACGTCCTCTGTTAGACAAAGAAAAGATAACTTTTTACAAAACTGGAAGAAATTAAAGTGGGTGTTAAGAAACCTGATGCTAGACAGTGGAAGGAATTTTAAAATGGAAAATTTGCTGTTAAGTCATTTCACCACAGGTCTATTGGGCAACCCTTTTCTCCCTAGACAGGAGGCAATTGCTTGGCTTCTCATTGAAAAGTATTCTTACTGCTGAATAACTAAGTCAAGAGGTTTATTGATCCCAAACATGCACATTATGAGCATGGAACAAGAGGAAGATCCAAGTCATTTGTTTATTCATTGCAGGGTGGTGGTGTTTGTCTCCTCCTTTGCAGCATTTTTCAAGATAGATGTACCAAGTCCATCTAACCCTCTAGATATTTTCACTAAATGGCCAAGAATTTCAGGCAGGAAAAAAGCTAAAATCTTCTGAAGCATCATTACTTCAATGTGTGCTGGGGCATTTGGAGGAAAAGAAACAAGAGAATATTCAATGATAAGTACAGAGAAGAGGTTAAATTAGTAGCAGAAATTGCAGCTTCAATTATGGGTTGGTCTCTTGCCCATTTGGAATTTAAAAATCTTAGCAGATGTGATCTTAGGGATAAGATGTGGGAAACTTTGAGATATCGTAACAGGTATATTCAGGTTTGGATGGAAATGATGTTTCATTTTTTGGGTTTGGTTATCCTTGTAATGTCTTGGTGAAAACTCTTCACTAGGTTGTACTTATTTTTTCTTTAACGAATTTTTCTCTTACTATCAAAAATAAATAAACAAATAAATATGGGAGTGTGTCTGTCTGTCTGTCTTTTTGTCAGGTTATTTAGAGAAGGCTGAGCAACCAAAGAATCTTCCATGTGGCACGTTGATTAGGGCCCAAAATGAGCCTCCACATGTTCCTCTCACTATATTAAAATACTGAAATATACTAATCCAATATTACTTGTGGAAGACACAAATAAAAGATGAGGTACAGGGCTGATGTGGGATTGGAGGATTACACAATGGCCAAACCCAAGATTTAAAATGTCTGTCAGTGGAAATATCAACCGTCCAAATATGGGAAACATGTTGAAAATGTTGGAAATACTGTTAATATGTCAAATATAGAATGATAATATTATCTTGTTCCAAATCATTAAACAAAGCTAAGAAACCAAGGTTATAGACAAAATAATACGTTGTGAATTTGTCTTGTCAACCTTTAGGTTCAAAACTACATGATGGAAAAATGATAAGCAAAAAATTCATCAAAAAAAAGTTCAAGCAAAATTTAAACTAAAAAAAATGCAAATGATTCAAATAGATCAACCAAGTAATCTATTACACAAACAAAAACTAATATTTAACTCCATGTTTGAAATGAATATCGAGTTGGGTCAAAGTGGTAATCATGTACATTAGGAGGGCAATAGCATTGCTACTCCACATATCTATAATATTGCCACCAATTAATGTTATAATACTATCTCTTGTACTCCACATAATGCTGGAAGTGTTCATTGGGAAATATGTAGATTCCAATAAAATTTCAAATTGCTACCCATGGAGATCGAAATATGTTGTGAAAATATTAGGAACTTTATTGACATATTAAACCATGGCCAAACGGCCCAAACCAGAGGGTCCCTTGGTTAACAACTCAGAGGAAACATCATATCCCTACATATGCAAAAGTGTGTCGAGTCATCAAGGGAAGCTACCTATTCAATCCTATTAGAGAATATAAACAGGGAGCATGTTTTCCAGAGAGATCCTTAAATGACCAAGGAATCTTACATGTGGTTTATTAGTTTTGATCTCGTAAGGAGTTTCCTAGTTCCTTTCCCACCCAATATGCATGGAAAAGATCTCAACCCAAAACAACTTGTCGGTTGCCATGTGTGCAAAATAAGCCCACTTTTATAGTTAAGTTTAAACCTTTGAATGATTAACATTAGCTGTTAAAACCATTAATACAAGGTCGAGTAAATAGCTTATATGGACTGTAGATGAACATGTGGCCAATCCAGTTGACCCTTATCTTCATGTGGCAGAATTAGATGGGTTCATTTCAGGGAAGCTCCCTACTTGACCATTTTGCATATATATTTGAGAGCAGATTTTCTACTTAGTTAGTCCCTTAAACAACCTAGGAATCTTCCACATGGAAAAGTAGTTTTAATAGCCCAAATGATAGGAGTGCAACTTGAGCTGGGCTAGCCTGAACCCAACCCAAAAAAAGGTCAGGTTGAGTTGGGTCAGCTAGACGTTTGGGTTAGGATTAGGGTTGAAAAATACGAAATGAGGAAACCAGGCCAACACAAACTCAGCCCAATCCCACAAAGTTAGGTTAGGTTAGGTTAGAGTTAGGGTTGGGGGTTCAACCACTTGGATTGGGTTATGGTTGACCTCAACCCGACCTAACCTGGCCTAACTTGCACCAATACCAAAATAAGCCCTAGATGTTCCTCTTGTCATCATCCACTCATGGTCATGGGGAAATTTTCATCTCAAAAGCCCCTGCTGCATGTCCACACCAATCTTTGTGGGCAAGTTTTTTATTAAAAATTAGAATTTTAGAAGGCTAATATTAGTTGGGGAAATCACTAAAAAAAGGTGGGTACCATATAATGCCTCCGTGTGGCAGAAAAAGGTTTTGACATATAGAGAAGCTCCCTGATTAACCCAATTACGAAACCTTTACATATACAGATACACATCGGATGTTTAGTAAGTTGTCGTCCCATAATGTATACATGCATGTCTCTTGTATAAAATGGATAAAAGACCGAAATAATTAGGACCAATCCGAAAATAATAACTATGAAGCTAATGGTAATGACAGAACTCAGAAGAATGAAGAGCATACACCATTCCTATACCAACCTTTATCCCAGAAATGGACTTTGAAAGCTCCATGGAAGGCATTTCCAAAAGATGAATTTGATTATCTGCACAAGAAATCTAAACTTGCTATATTTTAGTATAATCATTAACATGACAAATACATTTGTTTTAGAATATAAAGAAGCATAATAATGGGACAGAGCCCAATTAGAGTTGGGGACTCACTCCAAGCTAAATTTATGGATGTGGTGGAGGGCGTAAAAAGAGAGTTTGGATATGCTCCTCACAAAGCATGCCTCACTCTGACCTCACAGCACATATCAGCCGTGCACCTGGAATATCTCGTACTTTTAAATTTTTATTTCATGGGGAGATGTTCCAGATGCCAGGCTGAAACGTGCTGTGAGGTCGGTGTGAGGCACGCTCTGTGAGGATCAGATCCGATCTCATAAAAAGGGCTAAGGAATTAAATATTAGCAGATTAACCATTGAAGGAGATCCCAATGTGGCAATAGGATGGTTAGGAAAGGAGAATGATGGCATGTGGCCATAAACAAAGACTTTTCAAGTGGCTGACTCGGGGTAGGGAAGTGAGATTGCAGTGGGTAAAAAGGTGTGGTAACTCCTTTGCAGATACACTTGCCAAACAAATGGTGGCAAGGAATCAGTTGCTTTGGGCTATGTTGTAGCTTTTCTACTTTGGAGGAGAGTTAAGAGAGCTTACCTCCCCCCCCCACCCCGCCATTTATGTATTTGTTCCCTATCTTAGAATGAAATGGTTCTGTTATTGATCAAAAAAATATTGGACAGAGTTCATAAAAATATAATATAAAGAAACTTTCTCACCAAGGAAAGTGAAGGATCTGGAGAATATGTAAAATATAGAAGTGGGGACCCAATGCGTGATAGATATCTCTTCTTCCCTGTGTCAAGCTGCCAAACCACAAGAACACCTTCTCTTCCACCTAAATTTAGGACAAAAAGTCAATAATATGAATAAAAAAATCATATTAATCCATGTGAAAACATCACTAGAAAGAATAGTTATGGCAAATAATAACTTCAGAGCATTTTTTTGACAAGTAAAAGAAAATTTCATTAAAAAAGAAAAAACTTAGTACATCCTGGATAGGTGTTAAGGCAACACATGATAACAAAATTAGAACAAACATTACAAAATCAATTCCCCACTTCACAATTTTGAAGCCCAACATCTCCTGGATCTTTTCTTCTAATCCTTATTAACACCCATCACCTCCAGACTTGCAGGCCCCTAACATTCCAGGAAATCAGCCTCAACCCTGTCTGCCCCTAACATTCATCTTCCTTTTCTTCTCCTTCCTCCCATGCCTCTCATCAATCCTCAATTGTTTTATTGTTCTTTTCTTCCATTCTACTTCTTTCAAACTGCTCTACTGCTTTCCTAACTACCGTTTCCCCTCCCAATACAGGCGAAGCGACTTCCCCACTTTCCACCTGTCTCTCCACCAGCTTCTCAACCTCCACCCTCTACTTCCTTCTTTTGGAATTTCCCCCTCCTTAGAGCCCACCTCCACCTTACTCCCCTCTTTTAATCCCACTCCCGAAATTTCCAGCGATCTCACTTCCTCCCTCCCACTCTCGCTCTCCTTTTCTTTTTGACTAATGACTACTAGCTCTCTTTTTTCTATTGTACATAATACACTTAGCTCTGTTGCCCAGCGCTATCTTCCAAATCTTGATATCTCTCTTTCTTTTCTTTCTCCTTCCTCCCTCCTCCTCCTCCCTATTCTCTTCTCCCCCCTTGTCCTGCTATTTCTTTTGGAAAGTTAGATTCACAGAAAGGGTCCGAACTTACATCAGTATTCAAACAGGCAACAATTCTAAAACCCTCGAACCATCCACAGCAGGCCTCTTGTTTCCTGTTATTGTTGATAGCTCCAACTTACCAGTGTTCATTTCCTCCCTTTCTTCTATCATTGATGGTCGTCTTCCTCCACTAACACTGAAAATCTCCTGCCTCTGTGATGTTAGCAGAGAAGTATTCTGGCTTGAAGCTGAACCAACCATCCAACCTATGGTTGGGATTGATCTCTATGATTTCTCCTCCTCAACATTTTCCAACAAACCTCTCGTTTGTTGGTTGCCTAAACGATCCTTCTTCATCTTACTTTACAAAGCACTGTCATCCTCCATCGTAATAGTCTTCTTCCCTGCGTCAAATCCTGCCATCAGCCACACATAATCGTCTGGCGAGCTCTCCACAGCCAAATCTCTCTTTTGCCTTTTCTTCTACTCTTTAGATTCAAACCCAGGCTACGATTAACTAAAATACCCCTCAATACCTTCAACAATGGTATCCCGATGACCCCCCAATCCATACCACCCTTCTACCTCCAACCACTTCGCCTGCTGCCAGATACCACCAATAAAGTCGCAAGTCCTAGCTTTTTCTTCCTTGAGTTCTCATACTCCATCACCCATCTTCTGCTTGCCAGATATGAAACATAAAGGGTAGCAGCCTCCCATGCTTCTCTTTTCCCCATTCTAAGATTGCCCAGGCTTCAATTTTTTCGATCTCCAACCATCCTTCCTACCAGGCTAACGTATAGCACAAAGGCTGAAAAATCGCAATCCAAATTTCCAATAGTTGAGTTCTTTTTTATCAATAACAACAGCATTTTATTAAGGATTAAAGCAAGGCACAAGTAAAACAGGGGAGAGATAAGATCTATTAACTCTCCCCACAACAATACAAGACTACAAGAGATTGCAACAATGCCCAAAACAATTGATCTCTTCCCCCCCCCCCCCCTGTTTTGCTAGTACATCAGCAAAAGAATCGGCACTCCTCTTCACCCATTGCAATTTTATTTCCATATTCTGTGCCAGCCACTTAAACTTCTTCCTTTCATTAAGATAGCACCAAAAACCAACTGCCTCCTTTTGCTACTACCAGCTTTGGGCCTCCTTCAATGACCAACTTTCTACTATTCAACTCCATTGCCCCTTGCACTCCTTCAAGAACTGCCAAGATCTCGGCTCTTAACAAATCACCCATATCAATGGGACTTGAATAAAAAGCTAACATTTTGCCCTCTTCATCCCTGAATACTCCTCCAATGCCTGAATGACCAAATTCCCTTGACTGCTTCTGTCAAAGTTGAACTTGATGAAACCACTAACAGCTGGAGAACAAAGAGGGGCTATAACAGCCTTGTAAGAACCTGAAAAAGCCACCTCCCTCCAATTTCTAAGCAAATCCATTGGGGAATCATCAAATGAAGGGACTCAAAGTAAAACAAGAAGTAGTTGGAATGGAAGGCCTAAATTTATTCCTTGATGACTTATTAAGGAAACTCTACCAGTAGCATATCTACACATATAGGAATAAACCAAGGAAACCTAAATCTATTCCTTAATTTGAAGGATTTTAAACCAATTGTTTGATATCCCCAACCCTAGTGGTCCCTATCTTAGAATCAAAGCCATTAGTTAATTGTAATCAACTAATCATATTTAATAAGACTAATTTTCTAGATTATTCACCACCTTTTCATTTTCAATATGTATATTAAAGATCAAAGGTCACCAACCTTTTAGAACATAAGATCTCTGAGGTGAGACCATTCAAAAAGGAGAATAAGCCTTTTACACCACACCACCCTATCCTGCATGGGTATAATACATGCATGCATGCATTCTCAGGTTTACATACTAATAGATAGTGTTTCTTGTACCTGAATACAGATAGACCCCATCAGAGGAGAAAGAAAGAGCATTTACTTCAGCTGCATGCCAGTGCCATGTTGAGCAGGAATCTGCATCATCATCTCCTATCACCCCAGGCCTTTCTTCCCCATGCTTTACCACTCTTCCATTAATTTGTTTTTCATTTGCAGAGAATATTCTCTTGCCAAAACCTCTCCATATCAAAATCCTCCCTGTTACATCACCCCCAGCCAAAATTCTCTCAGTTGGATGGAAAGCAAGAATGGTCAATTTCTTTGTGTGATGCAATGTCATCTTCCTGACTACATCATGTTCTGAATCCTTAGAAGGAAGTTTCCACACATGAAGCCTTTGCTTGTTTCGGATGCCAAAGAATTCCCCAGAGGCACTAATAGTTATGATTTCTGGGTGCTGAGTCTGTAAACAAAACAATTCCAAACATCTTAAATGTAAATTGGCATATCTCATATAACTTAGATAGAACAAGCAAGTGATAATATGCTAAGAATGTGCAAACAGTTGTTTAAACAAAAAAGAAAATACAATGCTTGCAAGCAGAAAAGATATATCCCATTATTATTAGAACAAGTGATAATATGTTGTTGGCATATCTCATATAACTTAGAACAAGCAAGCGACAATATGCTAAGAATGTGCAAACAGTTGCTTCAACAAAAATGAAATACAATATTTGCAAGCAGAAAAGATATATTCCATTATTGTTGTTGTTGTAGAGAATTGGTCAGTTACTTTTATTAATCAAGATTTAAATAAAGAGTACAATGGTCTAGATCCCAATAATAGGGATCCGACCACCAAAAGAATTCATTCTTACAATTCATCCCAAAAGAGTTCTGGCTAAAGAATCACCCAAACTGTTTGTTGTTCTTCTCATCCATCTAACAGACACACTCAAATCCCTCGAGGGCTGTGGCACATGAGCGGCTCGTAGAATCAGGAATGTAATATGTTTTACATCACATTAGCTACTTGAAGTAATGCAATTGAGGAAAATTATGGGTTTTACATGCTTGAAAATGTTTTATATATTTGATTTTATTTTAAAATTCTTAATTGAATATTTTTTACATGTTATATGTATGTATTGTAATTTTAGATAATAGGTTGTTTAAAGCATTTATTTTAAAATTTAAGTTTATAATTTCTTTTGTTTTCTTCTTTAGTGGAGAGATCGCAGCTCATGCCTCTCCAAGGGCTGCTTGTATGTGATAATTTTTCCTAATTAATAAAAAGTCATTTATTTATCAAAAAAAAAATTAAGTTTATATTTTTTTGCATTTTTTTAATCTTTTGGATTTTTTTGAATTTTCTAGCATTTTTTATTTTTGCACCTTGCTTCAAAAAGGCGCACACCTCGCCTTGGGCGCAAATTGACCCCTGCGCCTTTTTTTGCTCCTTACGCTTCTAAAGCACTGGCTGAGGCAATGTACAGGGCAATGACACATGGAGTTTCAAAACTATTGTGGCTAAGGTCACTTTTGAAAGAATTGGGTATTGATTGTGAAAAGCCAATGATGTTATATTGTGATAATCAGGCAGCTATTAACGATGCATATAATCTGGTCCAATATGACACAACTAAGCACATAGAGGTTGATAGACATTTTATATAGGAGAGAGTTGCTTCAGGGGAGGTCTTGATGCCAATTGTTACTTCTGAAGAACAGATGGCTGATGTTCTAACAAAAGGTGTTCCAAAAGGGAAGGTGATACATTATATAAGCAAGCTGGGCATGATTAATATCTATGCTCAGCTTAAGGAGTGTAGAGAGACTAGGCCGAATGGGCCCTAGTGATTTATTTTTATTTAGTACTGTTTTCTTATATTGTTTAGTTGTTAATGGGTCCAATTTTAATAGGCTTGTTAACTCCTTTTTTATTTCTTTGAAGTGCTGAGTTGGCTGCTCACTTAAGGGCAGATCTGTAATTAGCCTTGATTAAACAAGTTTAATAAGGGAGAGGGAGAAGTTGTGCCAACAGTTTGGCAGATAGCTTAGCAAAGCAAGGGGTCCAAAGAACATATATGTTTTGGGCACATTTGTAATTCTGTACTAGGTCAACTTACTATGTCGATTTCTTTTGTAACTTCTTGTATCCTAAAGTATTTTTAATCAATAAAATTTTTCAAAGTTATTAATCAAAAAAAAAAAGAGGGAGAGGTTGTGGCATGAAGTAGGTGAAAAGTATCCATGGCTGTTTTGAATCAGGTTGGGATGCGGAGGTATCCCGAAAGGCTTTGCTCACAACACCTTGGAAGGCTATCTCTGGCATTCTCCCCAAATTCCTCGGATTTGTAAGGTACAGTGCTTGTTCTGGAAACTCCATTCTATTTTGGGAAGATATTTGGGTGAGCACTCAACCCCTAAAAGATCGTTTCCCTTCTCTCTATTCCATCTCCCTCTTTAAAAAGAAACCTATTTCTTGGTTCCTTCCCCCTCACCCTGGTTTGTCCTTTGGCTTTAAACTGGGATTTTGGGTTTCAAAGAGGGTTAAGGGATGAAGAATCTCTTTGTGTTTCAGAGCTTTTGTTGCTTCTAGATTCGGTGTGTTTGGACCCCCTAACCCGGATAAAAGGGTTTGGTCCCTAACCCCAATTGGCTCCTTCACTTGTGCATCTTTCTTTAAAGCCCTTTGCTCCAACCCCTCCTCTCAGGTCTTCCCTATTAAAGAGGTTTGGTCAAGGCCAATACCCCCCAAAATAGCAGTTTTCTGTTGGGAAGCCTATTATGGTAAGATCAATACTGTGGGAAACTTGCAAAAGAAGAAACCTTTTATGTATTTGTCCCCACATTGGTGCTTTCTGTGTAAAGTGAAGGGTGAGGACTATAACCATTTGCTAATATCATGCTCCTTTGCTGTCAATATTTGGAACTGGGTTGTTTCATTATTTGGGTGCAGGTGGAACTTGCCCTCTGAGGTAAAGTTGTTGTTCACTCCGGCTGCCTTTGGGAGATTGACAAAAAGAGGGAAGCTAATGTGGAAATGTATCAGAGCCGCTACCTTGTGGATATTATGGGAGGAGAGAAATGCTAGAATATTTCAAGAAAATGAAAGAAGTCTTGCTGAAATCAAGGACTGCATATTGACAAGGACAATCTCGTGGTTAAAATCTTCACATTTGTTGGCAGATTACTCCTTTAATGACTTAAGGAGAAACTAGGCAGCAGTGGCTTCTACAGTCTCCACCAAGAACAAATAACAAGCTGAATAGAAACCCCCACCAGATGAAGTGGTAAAATTGAATTTTAATGGAAGCTGCCAAGGTAACCCAGGGCCATCCGGGATAGAAGGGATTCTGAGAGACAAAGACAGCAATATGTTGTCTTTATTTTCAGGACCAGTGGGTGAAGGAGATTCTGTAAGGGCAGAGTTACTAGCAGTGGTACAAGGTATACAGTTGGCTAGTCAAATTGGAGTGAACAATTTGATGGTAGAAGGGGATTCCAAGGTAGTAGTGGAATGGCTGATTAGTCCAGAAACAGCTTGTTGGGGCTACAGGGATCTGTTAAAGAAAGTTAAATGGATGACAAGAAATATGACTGTCAGGTTTCAGTGGGTCAACAGATCAGCAAATGCAATGGCTGATTCTATGGCCAAGCAAGAGGTGCCAAGGGGAAATCTGTTTTGGGCTACTTTGTAATTGTGTTTCAGGCTTGGGTATGTTTAGTGTATATGTTTCAGTCCTCGGGGGAGGTAACATCTCGTGCCTCCTCCTAGGCTGATTCTACTTTCGTTATTTGAATTAATAAAACTACTCACATTTATCAAAAAAAAAACAAGTTTAGTAAGAGATTAGAGAGCTAGGAGAGAGGGATTGAACTAACTCCTCCATTTCTTCTCCATCTTCTTCTTCTCTCTACTGTTTTCTTCCCTTTTCTTGGTGAAAGTTGAGCATTATTTACAGATTTATTGATCTGAATCACATCTTTACCTTCCTTGGGACTCCAAGAAATAAGTTATTTGGTTGATATTAGATTTAACATTGGAGTCATTTGGTCATTAAACCACATTTCTTATATCTTAAGATGAACAAAAGTGTGCATAGGTAGCCATGTAACCTTTTTTGTTGAGCTGGCTGCTGGTATTACAATGCTGGTCCCAAAGCTGAATATAGGAGAGTTGTGTTAGTTTGCAGTTGACATTAAAACCTCTGTCAAATTCTTATGAACACGGATCCTGAGTTGAGTTGAGATAGTCATACAAACAATTCCACTTTATCACCTTAACTTTCTCCTTTCTCTTTTTCTTTTCTCTTGTCTTGTCTTCTATCTTTCTTCTCATACAATACATCTTAAAATAGTGAAACTTAGATTTCCACTACTATGTAACACATTCTCAGACATCAAATCTAGATAACAAGCCAAGAATGTTCATTAAAACACACATATATATGTACAACATTCATATACATGCCATCTGCTTTACAGAAGAAAGTCTTTCAGAAAATTTCAGCAGAAAAGCAAAGTAAATAACATATAGGAGCGAGATCTAGTGCACCTCTGACAAAGTCACTCCTCCAAGCAGACGAGACTCCGATAGGTTACACTTCCGAATTTGTCCTCTTAATACTTTGGACTTGTCACCTTGCTTGCTTGTATCCTCAACCGACACATAAGCATAAAGATCAGATGGTTTTCCATTGCTATGAATTTGTGGATGCAATAAACCTGGAATCACCTGAAAAATCAAGAAATGGTTTTATGAAACACCTTCACTAGGGTCCACCTTAGGACCACACAACAAAATGAGTGCAGAAGTAGAGACCATCAAATAGTTACAGTGTCCCTTGCTAAAAACAGAAAATTTATAAGTATAATTTGACCATCTTACTAGACTAGAGGAAACTAACATCCGATCTATCTGCTGAAATTATATCAAATTAAAAAAAAAAAAAAGTACATCACACAATGTTATCCCCAGCAATCTGGGATATTGGGAAGGGTAAACCGGACACAGTCCTAAACTTTGGCGTATTTTATTGAACACATCAATAAATCAAATCATTAAATCCATCTTACCATGGAATAAATTGGGAGTTGGACATCCACCTTCTTCATTAATTCTGGTACTGAAAAATCCCAATAGCAAATGGATCCATCAAGAGATGAAGTCCAACAGTAGCACAAAACTTTACTTGCAGAAGTAGAAATTGGTACAACAAAAACTGAAGTTACAGGGGCTTGATGACCCTCCAATTCTGTAATCTGTAATACAAGAAGGCAACTTCTTTTTTAACAAATAAAAGCCAACTGAAAAACAAGCTAATGGGAATAAGAAGGACAACATTTCAATATCAAAAATAAAAACTACCTGCATGCCTGTGGAAGTACTAAATACTGAGACTGTGTTGCCTGTACAGAGAAGCAGTTTCTTGCCATCATTGGAGAACGCTGGTACAGACGAAACATAGCTTTTGCCACCCGTAATCATTGCTCTTTGAAATCAAAGAAATGCCAGAAAACAAAGGGTTAGTACTATTCCATCATTATATAACATCAAAAAGACGGAAGCTAATTCAAATGTTATGCTGAGGTGACCAGTGATGCACAAAAACGTACACTATGCATAGCATTCTTCAACCTGACACTAGACTAACAAAATAAGTGGAACAAATGCCCATTCTCTCTGGTCCTCACAAAGCCCAGCATATGGAGTTATACCCAAGGTATTCCAATCAATGTGGTACCTCCCGAACAAGCCATAAGTATTAAATCAATGGGTTAATATCCATGTGGCATGGATCTGTTGCCACCCCTGATAAATTGTGTAAAAACATGTGGACACCCAGATTTTTTTTGTCAGGAAAGACAGATTTAAATAATCAATATTGACAAAGGAGCAACTCAGTAAGTAAAGAATATACAAGATAATCACCGCCAAAAAAATGGCAATTGATATATTAGAGAACATTACATAACATAGAAACAGACAACATGAACAAATCAAAGAGGAGACAGAACAACAACAACAATGATCAAAGTTCAAAAAATCAAACTCTGTATTGGCAACAATATTGAAAACAAGAGAACAAAAAAAGGAGGCAAATGAGAATAGAAAACACATGACTGTTATGTGGCACACCAGCACCATTTCTTTTCCATCTTCCCCTCCCTCTTCACTAATTATCATATTCAACTCAAGTTAGACTTTTGAGTGCTTACCCTGCAACTTCCTTGGACTCCAATGCTGATAAGGGATCTGATATTCTCAAGGAGCCAAGGACATTTTAGTTGCCTTAAGCAAGGACTAAAGTACCGGTATCGAATATCGTACCGGACAACTTGGATACAGATATGGATATGCTTTGGAAATGCATGGATACGAACAAAAAATATGGAAACACTTGGATACGCTAGGGAACAAATAAAAATTTCATAAATATATTAATAATATTAAATTTAAGGTCAAATAACCATAAATAATGTATAACATAGAAAATGTATATTTTAATGGTGTATATGAAAAAATATATTACAATTAATATAATAGGATGCATAAATATCATACAATTTTATTGATAATGTATCAATCAAGAGTTCAAAATGCAAAACAATTAATATATTTTAATTATTATATCAATTATTTTCTATTTTACTATTTTTACTTTTTTACACTAACAAACAAATCAACCGAAGATTGTTAATGGAAGCTCTAACTAACAATCATGTTGGGAGTACACTCTATAAATCGATGGTCAAAGAGGCTCCTCAACAGTGGGCAAAGGAATAAATATCTCACCAGAGTAAGACAAAAGGGGAAGAAAACCTTTTGAAACATCTAGTACAACAAAGGCCTTTTGAAAAACAGGACCATAGCATTTGTATCCATTTTGAATGTGAGAGTAACCAAGGAAAACGCATCCAATGGCATGGGGGTCAAGTTTGTCATGGCTAGGACTTCGTTTATGAACAAAGCACATGCAACCAAACACCCAAGGAAGATGGGAGAAGGGAGAAGCAAAAGGAAACAAGATTGAGAAAGGAGATAAGTTTTATGAGGAAGTAGGAAGTGAGAACTGTGTCACTCCAATAAGTTTTAGGAACGGACATTTGAATCAACAAGGCATGAGCAATTTCAATCAGATGACAATTCTTCCACTCTTCTACCACATTCTACTAGGGGTGTGTGAGCAATAAGACTGTTGTATAATACCATGAAAATCAAATTAAGACTGTTGTATAATACCATGAAAATCAAATTAAGACTGAAACTAGTTATGAAAATATTCCTCAGCAATATCCAATCAAAAGACCAGTATGCATACACCAAATTGATTTCTTATTTTCTGCATAAAAAGAAAAAAATACAAAGAACAATTATGAATGTCCCTTCATTAAATAAATTCTTTAAACCCATTATAAGAAGGCACACGGCTTGGACCCCAAACATCTAAGCGAACCAAAGCAAAAGGACTTAATACTCATTTTTATAAATAAAATTGCATTAATTTTCATTAGAATCAAAGGAAGGGCTTAAGACTCGTCTTCTCTAGGAATAAAAGATATTTGATGATGCTTATTGAGTTGGCACGACTCACACTCCAACTATTTGACAAACTCTAAGGTAGGAACCAACGACTTCAAAACATGTGTGTGCGTTGGGAAATGGCTCACTTGAAAAGAATCAAAATCGCCACCCATCATTTGAAAGAAGTGGAGGTGATGGGACCTCTAAGAGTTGTATTTAAAATCACTTTTGCTTGATAGTGACTCCAAACCTAAGGCATCGACTAGACCAGTCTAGGAAGGACTCAAATGGGAGAGGAAAGGGGTTAGGCATCCCTCTCCCGTTTCCAATAGGTGGGGCCCACATAGTCCCAAGGTAAGCATAAAAACAAACTCGTAATTTTCAATCAATGTAAAATAAAGAGCCTAAAGTATTTGCAAGAAGACAAAGCAACATCATCTCATCACAAGAAAACCCTTTTTTCTTTTATTATGATTCATCTACTAATATTTATTTATTTTTTTATTATATGTTTTTTAATTTCATTTTATTTTTCCTATTTCTTATACCCCCTTTTTGTTTTTTTATTTTTTATATAGTTTGACTTTTTTGGTTCATTTCATATATGTTTTTTAAAGGAACCTACAATAAACAAGGTTTCAGCCTAGGGTCTACAAGAGAGGAGGGACAATGATTTAGCTAGGGGTAAGACGATTCAAAACATTTCAATGCTCTAGTTGAGCCTTAGTTATACTCCTCCATTTTATTTAGTTATTTCCCTTTTGTTACTATGACTGTCTTATTTTATTCTTCTAAGCAAAGGAAGCTGAAAGGTAGGATTCTAGCATGGAGTCTACAAAGTGCTAAACTAGGACAACAGTGAGCCAGGATCAAATTGGGATGCTCTCTCCATGCAATAACAAAACTGTTAGATAATTATCTAATTATATTGTTATATAATTATATATTTAAACAATGCTGTTATATCATTATCTAATTATATAAATATATAATAGCTATTATAAATATTGTTAATCCCATTTCCTATTAATTATATAAATATTGTTAGATAAATATATAATGGTTATTATTATATAATTATAAATATTGTTATTATAATTATCTAATTATATAAATATTGTTTATATAATTATCTAATTATTGTTTATATAATTATCTAATTATTGTTTATATAAATATGTAATAGCTATTATATCAAACCGTTCAAACAATTTTGTCAGAACGACCGACCGTTCGACCTGGTAACTGGACCCCTGATCAGTTCGATCTCTGGGTTGGTTTTAAAAACCATGATGTTAAGTCATTCGAGTATATGACTCATACGACCCAAAAATGGATCTATTGATAGACAATTCTAATCGTCTATCTTCTTCCTCCTCTAGTTCCTTAGGTCGAGTTCAGAAAGCAGGGCAGAGTGTGCATTCTAGTATCTCTTTTCAATGAATCCCAACTAAGGGTTTGATTCGGTTGTCGCCTGAAAGGCGGTATCCTAGATGCGTCAAGCGCATTGTTTTAGAAAAGCTAGATTTTGCAGTTTGGCTTGGAGATGAAAGCATCAGTGATGATGACTATGAGTCAGATGGAGCCTCAAGTTTGGGTAGCCTTGATTTGTAAGCTAAACAAAATTTGATTGAAACAGGGAGCTTGAATACGGAGGTGTTGTACTTAGAAGAATAAAGGGCTACTACAGATTTTCCGAAGGAAGAACAAAGGGTAGGAGGTGTTGCATTTGCTAGACAGATTCCACTATCCCATCATGAGGGAGCCAACAAAAAGTCTCAGGGCGTACAAGACTTAAATGTAAGAGAACAGTTATCTCTTGTGAGCATGGAGATAAGGGTGAACTAGGAAGGGGAGTATTAGGGTTGGGTTTTCGAGAGGGTAGGCTAGACGGTGGTGCTTGCTCCACCATGTCTACTCCACAAAAGTCTCCCTATAAGGAAACGACACCAACTTCAGTCAAATTTGGCAAACGGTCTAGTCCTAGCGTTCCTTGTGCTATCCCTTTCCAACCAAGTATGGATGTCAACTTGTTTTTGGTTACTAACCAATGTAGTATGCCTAAAACAGAGGTAGCTGAAGAGATGAGAGATCCATCGTATGGATGCCCAAATCTTGCGGAATAAGGTGGGCGAATTTCAAAAAAAAAAATTCTCTCCCTTCAACTGGAAATCACATTCCCCATTTTAGAAAATCATATTTTCGATGATCAATCTTGAACCATAAATCGAACCAGATCTGAACAAAAGCAATAGGAGAGGATTATACTTGATACGGAGAAATAATATCTCCCAACGAAGGTGTTCACGCCCAAGGAAAGATCCAAAGACTGCTCTCACTGAAGATGACGCAGTGTAGAATGGAGCAAAATCAGCAATGTTCTCTCCAATAACCTAATCCTTCGCAAGAGGTAGCAGGATGGCACGTGAGAACAACTTCCTATCAGTCCGTTCACAAGGAACTGATGTCAAGATCGAATCTTGATTTCTCCCACTAAACTGGAGATCGAACTGGCAGGTGAGGCGGCAAAAGGAAGGAGGCGGCAAAAAAGAATTTCGTAGGGTTGCTTAATTCTTCCTTCTGTGATTTCAACTCTGAAGAGGATGTGAATATGTGTCTTCTAAAGGCTCCTAATCCCATTAGGAGTTGCTGATCCAAATCATATTTGGATCAGACATCCCTTTAGGTGATAAGG